GGGGGGGGGGGGGGGGCTGGAGAGGCTGCAGCGTTGGCATCTCCCAGACAGGCTCCTGGTGCACAGCCCGACAGCTCCCCAGGGAGCAGCACAGGCACAGGGAGTGGGGGCAGGTCCCTCAGGGCCGCACTGAAGGCAGAGTCCACGCTACCTTCAGCTGCCCCACGTGCCAGCGGTTCTTGGTGGCGTCGTAGAAGTACAGGTCATTGAAGAAGTCTCCCTCCAGGCTCTCGTCCTCTTCCTCATCACGGACCCCCCCAAAGAGCAGTGTCTGATGGTTCGGGGCCACAGCCACCGAAAAGCCAGACCTTGGGGTGGGCTTAGTCCCTGACGGGTTGATCCGTGTCCACACCCACTTGCCTGTTAAGAAAGACTCGGGTGAGGGGGAGAAGCATGCCAGGGACCAACTGGCAGCACGAAGGCGGTGGGCACAGCCCTGAGACCCCACCCCTCCAGCAGGAAATCACAGGCGGCGGCCATCACCCCTGGCACCCCCCCTCCGGAGGCCGCGTGCAGCCTGGTCAGCAGAGCCCTGCACCCGTCAGTGCGGGAGGGTCCCAGGCTGACAGCGTGTGCTTCCCCACAGAACTGAGACACTTCCCGGGCGGGAGGTCAGGCCCCGAGGGCAGGCCTGCTGAGGACCAAGCCCCAGTGTGCCCGAGCAGCCCGGGGGCACCGCAGGCCCTGTCTGAGTCAGGGCAGGAGCTCGGTACACGTGGGCGTCCTGCCAGCCCCAGGCAGCTGCAGGGCTCGTGGCCGGCCCATGCCCAGCCACGGGGAGGAGGGCAGACCGTGGGGTGGGCACAGCACCTTCTCGCCCCTCTTCCGGCCTCAGGAGGAACATGTCCGCGTGCTGGGTGCCCCTGTCCACGTCTTTCTTGACTCTCTGCAAAAGGAGTTGAGTGAGAACCACGGGGTCGCACTGCGGGCACAGCCCCCGTCCGGGGCACAGGGGTAGAGGGATGAGGCTGCCCCAAAGACAAGCCCCAACACACGGAGCCCAAACGGGCCTTCAGTCCTGATTCTGCAGCGCCCGACAGCACGGTACTAAGGACGGAGCGGGTGACCTGGACCACACTGGGGCAGCCCCGCCCTCTCAAATCGGAGCGCCCTGTGGCTCCTGTAGCCACCTGTCCCCCACGGCTGGGCTCTGCCAGAAACCGCCACCAGACTCCAGCCACCCCATCCCCTCCCCACCCTTCGAAGCACACGATCAGGCTTGGGCAGGAACAGAATCGCCGCTCAGCAGCAACCATGGCCCCGAAGCCGCACTTCTCCATGGTCCATGCGGTGACGTGCGAGGGTGGCTCTGGTGCCCTGGGCGCCTCCAGGCTGGGGCGGTGTCTCCACCTTCCCTCTCCTTGGGGCCCTTGGAGGTCAAGGGGGGTGGTCAGGTTTTAGGGGGCACCCTCCCTAGGGGCTAACTGGTCTTTCGTCACCAGACCAGGTGAGAGGCTTGGGAGACCCGGGAACACAGCCCCCTCCTGTCTCCTCCAGGACACACGCTGACTCCCGGGTGCTGACCCGTCCCCCCAAACACACTCTGTTGGTCCGTTTCTCACCCTGGGGCTACCACTCCCCCTTTCCGACCCTCCCTCTCCCTCTAGGAGGTCGGAAAGGGAGCACGCATGCTCACCCCAACGCGCCGACACGTGATGAGGAGGGCGAGGATGCCATGTGGGTCCCTGTGTCCTGCAGCCACTTCACTCACCCAGTGAAACTCCCTTCGACAGAGGGAGGCCGGGCCAGCTGGGCCAAACAGCCGCCACGCACTAGGGCCCCCCCAGACCCAGACAGGTCGTGCTGCAGCAGCAGGGCCACCATCCCCAGCAGGCGCCTAAGGAGGGAGGCGGGGAGGGCCACCCGGGCCAGAGGAGGCCGCTGCCCGCGGTCCGGACAGCACGGAGGCACCTGAAGGGCCGAGCGCTGTGCCACCTTTGCCACTCTGGGCAACAGGCCGCCTGCTCGACTCCCTGCATCCACTCCCACACACCGCTCGTGAGCCTAATCACTCATAATGCCAGCAAATCCCCACATCACAGCAATTCCAAATGCCAACGGCTTGGCGCAAGGGGCCGCCAAGCTAAGTGGATTCGGATTATCTGGTGTGGCTGCAGCGAAGTCCTGCAGCCGGCTGGGAGCAGCAGCTGGTGAGAATTGCGTGCCGACTTGATTAAAGTGGTCTCTGCCTAACAGGCTTACCCTTCCCAGCCCTCGTCCCACCGCCACCTGCCTGTCAACGAGGCTCCCCACGTCGGCCCCACCCAGAAACGAGAGGCTGCCCAGGAGACTCCCGTCCATGCTGGCCAGCTGCTGCAGGCTGACCCCACTCCCGGGGCCATGGGCGCCCGGCACTCGGGGGCTCAGGCCATGGGAGCCGGCTGAGACGCGGGTCACTGACGCACGCAGGCCGAGTGCCGGTGACTGCGAACCAGACCCAAGCTGCAAGAGCCACACACCTGGGACTGGCAGCTGTGTCATCCCTGCACTCGTCAGCACCTGCGGACACTTCCTGTCGGGTACTGGGCCTTGTGATCCAACTGCTAAAGAACCATGTGATACAAGTGACCTCCACCAACAAAGCAAGAATGGCTCAGGGCTGCCATGGGACCCACTACCTCCAGGGAGCCCTCCAGGCTTAATTGCTTGAAACCTCTGTGGCTACCCAAACTGAGCTACCGCTTGCTGACGCAGTGTCATTTCCTGGCCACATGACGGGCCTGCAGGACTGAACTGCTGAGGTGCTCTGTGCTCCCCGGTGCCGCAGAGAGGGGGCAGGAGGGAAGTCCAGCCCCCGTACCCCCTCCTGTGACACCTGCCTGTCGCCAGCTCCCAATAGTGGGGTTTCAACCACCTCCATCCGCTCATGGCAAGGGCCCGCACCATCAGGGCCAGCCCTCCCTCAGGCTTCTAGCGAGGACTCCCATGGTCAGGCCATGCCCACGCCCTCCCTGCCTCCCACCTGCCCCCTGCAGAGCCTGTGCCCGCGAGCACCCCCAAACTCGGGCAGTCCCCGCGGTGCCACCACGCCCCAGGAGGGGCTCAGCTCGCCTCCAAGCCACCCCTCAGTCCTCACGGTTCTGGCCTCCCCGAAGGCACTCTGCAGGTCCTCCCCCACACACCTCCGTCTCTGGAGGTCTTTCTGGGGCCCACGGCCCACGACACCCTCCCCCGCCCTCTCGTGACAGCACGCAGGTGTGGCCGCTCACGGTGCCTGCTGTCACCGCCCTTCGAGAGTGCACGTGGTCGGCCGACTGCACTCCTGGCCGGGAGGGCTCGAAGCCACACCTCGCAGGCACACTCGGGGACAGCACAAGACACGCCGAACTCGGCCGTAAAGAGCGAACCGAGGGCACCAGAGAGGCCGAGAAAACAGGTCCAGGTCACTCTCCTATGGCTGCACGGCCGCTAGCCGCGGGGGTACAAGGGCTAAGGGGCCGCGTCACAGTCAACCCACCGCAGGAAGGGGCCCGTAACCAGGCCTGGGGCAGTGCGGCGTCCTTCTGGCTTCCTCCAGACACATGAGGACGGCCTACGCAGGCCCAGGGAGCCTGATGACGAACGGGAGCCCCATCTGCAACACTGCTCGGCAGGGCGAGAAAAGCCAGGACGGTGTCGGACCGGAAAGGGCACGCACACACCTCGGTGACACCTCGGTAACACAAGCACAGAAAATCCAAGGGCAGTGCAGGGGAGTGCCCAGGTCGGTCGGCCTCCAGCAGGGCTGTGGGCAACAAGGCGACCCCACGGAGCCGCCGTGCTTCCGCGCAGCAGCACAGGCAGGGCTGCGACGTCACACAGTGAGCGCGCGTCTGTCAGTGCAGTCGGCAACGAGACGGGAGCGGAGCGCGAACCACATACGCTCCAGCAGTCCATGGTTCAAAGAAACCAGAGGAACCCGAACTGCGCGTGTATTTTGATGTTTTTTGTTAGGTTTTTGCTACGGGGCATAGTGAGAGGGAAAGTGAGAAATCTGCCCCTGGGAGGATGGCCATGTGGCCACCCCTTCTCTCCACTCCTGAGATTTTGGGCACAAGTTTTGAGCCACTGGGTCTGGTACTCACACCATGGCCAGCCACGTGGAGACCCAAGCTCCTTAACCACCACACCACGTGCTGGCCCCCAAACGAATATTCCTAATTCATTGATAAAATTTGTAAAATATAGTTGAAGCAGTTTCTAGAAGGAAATGTATAACCATAAATACACAGATTCAAAAAAATCTAAAATTGGCCCAACTTTGGGCCAGCAGGTGGTGTGGAGGCACTGGGACCCACAAGGCAAAGCAGAACAGTTCAAGTCCCAGACCTGGTGGCTTAGAAATCACACTGGAGAAAACTGTGATCACACCTCAGCAAACACCGAACCGCATGTGAACAACTGCGCATCGCTCATGCCAAGAACTCTGTAGAACAGACTAGCACAGACGGGAAAGACCAACAGCTAGCCCAGTTCTGATGGTGGGTCACTGAACGCCATGCCCTGGAGGCACGCACTGCCAGGGTCCTGGCCCTGGCTGCCCTGCCCGCAAAGCGGAGAAGCAGAGGAAGGACAGGCGACACGTCAGGAGCGGTTGGCCAGACCGCCACCAGCCCAAGATATGCCCACTCACAACATCAGATCCCATCCCCACTCCTCTGTGGGTTTAGAGCAGCCCTAATCGTAACTCCCATAAGGGTTTTTGTCTCCCCCCTTTTTCTAAAGAGGGGGTGCAGAAGCAGACATGCAGAGGCTGACTCCAACTACAGCCACCGCGCTCGCGCTGGGCCTGGGTGGCGATGCACGGCAGCGGGAGCGGAGCTCACACACGCGCAGCAGCAAGCTCCACACCCGGTGAGGAGACGCAGGCCGCTGGGGACAGCCCCCAACACGTGGGCAGGGCTAGGGGCCACGCGGGAGGTTAGGGCTCAGCTCTTAGGCCAGCTTGGACATGCGGGTGCACACACACCCATGACCCCAGCAGGCTGGGAGCACAGGGGTGAGGACAAGGGCATGACACTCCGCTGAGACCCTGCTGTATCTACCCCTCCCCCCCTTTTTAAAGAGATTTTTCACTATAGGGCGCATGCACTTGCCAGAGACACAGAGACTAAGAGACAGAAAGTAAAAAATCAGTGCCCGAGGGGAAGGCCATACCACAATTTCTTCCCTCCATTCTCCTCTCAGGATTTTGGGCACATGTGCACGGCATGACTTTTAAACTTCCGGGTCCGGGGCTCGGGGAGTCCAATGATGTAACCATTACACTATCTGCTGAGTCCTCCCTCTCTCAAAAGAAAAAAATAGTGGGCCCAGCAGGTGGCGTAATGGCTATGTTACTGGACTCCCACGTGGTCGACTGCTGTTCAAGTCTCGGACCCGGTGGCTTAAACTCACTCCGGGCGTGTGTGCGAGAGGAGAACAGAGGAGGGACTGTGGTGTGACTATCCCTCCTGGGGGGTGATTTCTTGCTTTCTATCTCTCTGTCTCTCTTTCTGGCAAGTACACATGTCCTATAGCAAAAACCTCTCCAAAAACAAACAAAGCAAAAGAGGGCCACTGGTAAAGGCGCTGGACTTCCACATGGCTGACCACAGGACGAGGCCTGGACCCAGTGGCTTGAAAAATGCCAGGCACGCGAGTGTGCATGGCCAAAATCCTGCCAGGAGGACAGAGAACAGACTGCAGCAAGGCCATTCCCCCGGCGAGTTCTCACCCCTCTTCTTCATGAGCTCACACACACTACGATCAAAACCTGAAGAAAAAATAAATAAAGAGCAAAATACAACACGTTTCGGGGAAGACGGCGGATCCCTGAGAAGTCCGCACACCCACCTCGGCAGTCATCAGAGAGACAGGACCAAAGCCCAGCGAGCGCGGCACGTCCCCCAGGAGGGCTGAAAGCAAAATCCCACACCAGCTCATGGGGCAGCCAGGGCAGCGCATGCTGATAAGACAGCTCAGGTGCAGACACTAGGGAGGTCTGACCGTCTGACCAAACAGGCACCTCCCAACGGCCCTGCCCAGGAGGCAGGGCTGGCACAGCTGGGGTCCCTTGAAGGACGACAAAGACCTGGACCACGGCACAGTGGCTCACAGGCTGGCTCAGCATCGGGAGGGCGGCCGGCACCCAGCGCACAGTGCACAGCTCGGCTGAGTCTCAGACATGCTCATTTAAGTCGGTCATCGAGGAAACACGGCGTCGCCCGGCGGCCAGCTTGGGCACATGGCAGCACTACGCCCCAAAGGCCATACGGAACGGCGCTGCCTCTGGGGAGGGCCTGGCTGGACGGGGGTCTGGGTGCCAGGGCAGCAGGCACACACTAGGCGTGAGCACATCACTGGGCACACTGACCTCGACCCGATGCACGCGCTTAGCCGAGCGGGCACGGGGTCTCCCTTCTCGGAACAGCAGCACCCACAAAGGGCAGTGGCAGAGCAGGAGGGGCAGGAGGGCTGCACGCAACCCAGCAAGCACAGTGAGAAGGGCGCGGGACCCAGGCGGAGCGTGGGAGGTTCGCCAGAAACCTATTAGCCACGTGTTTAAAACACTTGAAGGTGGGGCCAGCAGGTGGCAGGGTGGTTAAGGAGCTGGACTCCCACATGGCTGACCGTGGTTCGAGTCCCAGACCTGGTGGCTTGCTTTCTCACTTTCCTTCTCTCTCTCTGTCCACCCCTATCTAGCCAAATTAAAATAAGATAAATAGTTAAATAATTCTTTAAACAAAAAAGTCTTGAAGATAAAAATGACTTAAGAATGCCTACAAAGCTAACATTTCATACCCCTAAGATTCACAAAAACACAAGTCGGCAACATGTAGGGAGGGATGGGCCAGAGGAACCCTCATGAGCTACCGTGGAGTGTGCGTGAGTGGTGTCCTGGGTGGAGTTCCCCTGTGACAGTAACCCCCGTGGGCTCCCTCATGAATGGTGCCCTCCCTGGGGCTCCCCCCCATGAGTGTCACGAGGCTCTGGGCATGTGTCTGCAGACAGCAGCAGAGCGGAGAAGGGCGTCTCGCTACAGCCCGCGTGGTGGGACGGGGCGTGGCAGGTGCAGCGGAGTCCGAGTCGGGGACGACCGTAAACAGGTCACCCGCATGCAGAGGGACGTCACAGGCCTTCGCAAACCTTAGTCTGTTCACCTTAGGCCGTTTCTAACTCAGCGCAGAACCGTCTATGACGCTAACGTGTGACGTCCCTCGGAAGGTCTGCTGGGAAGAAACTGAGGGGAGAGAATCCGAGGCCCTCCGCCCCCCACGCCCAGGCCTCACCTGCTTCGAGTAGCCCCCATAGATGGCTATGCTGCCCTGCGGCGTGACGGACATCTGGCAGCCGGACCTGGGGGAGGGTCCGGTCCCTGACGGGGACAGCTTGCTCCACGTGTAGGTGTCCAGGTCGAAGGCGTACACGTCGTTGTAGTAGACATAGTCCCTGCCAGGAGGGCCCCACAGCTCGGTCAGCACCACAACAGCAGCGACAACGCAGATCAACACCCAGCAAACCACAGGGACACTTTCTGCCACCTTCACTAAGTCACCTGCACCCGCGGGGAGGACCGCGAGCACACGCGAGTCGGCGCACCTCCTAGTGACAGCATCGTACCCTTGCGAACGCTCACGCCGAGCTCCGAGGCTCGAGACTGGGAGGCGGGCAGTGGGTTGTCATGGCCTCGTCAGATCGGAAACGTCAGCAAGGCGAGAACCAGAGCCAGACCGGATCGGACGGAGGACAGTCCCGAAGGCGACTGAAGGAGTGCCTTCGAGGCTGGTGGTAGCGCTGGGACCCAGACGGCAGCACAGACAGCCGGGGGGACGGGGCTGCACCTCCACGGGACCTGGCCCCCTGCTCGGAGCCCCTGGGACTTGGGGCCGGAGGACTCAGATGCAGTGGGGGCCTGCGAAGGGGAACAAGGCTGTAGGCGGGGAGGCAGCAGCCTTGCTGGAGCTGTGAGGGAGTGCCCTGGAGGTGCACCGAGAAGCTGGTCCCGACGCGGGACTTCCACGGGACCACCATCCCAGAGCACAGCCACTCCCCAGCTCTGCAGACAGGACAGAGCGCAGCGCCTTGGAGAGACGATGGGGGGAGGCGCACGGTCGGCCTGGGTCCAGGCAACCGTGCCGTGCCCCCTGGTGACACAAGTCTGCCACTCCAAAGCATGGTGTACCCTCGCTGTGGTGGCCATGGCCAGCTACCAGCTGCCAGCTCTCACCCCGTGCCCCTGCCTCAAGGACGCCGCCGCTGGGACTGTGCAAGGAGGGAGCACCTGTGCGGGGAGCAGGGGCCTCCTCCACGCCACCAGGCCTCAGCGCAGGGCCCTACTCTGCGCGGCATGTCGGAAGCCTAGGGTTTAGGCCGGCCCGAGCTGTCTGACGCGGACACGGACAACTCTGCTCTAGCGCCTTCCTCTCCCCGTTTCTCCAGAACGCCTTCTGAGCTCCAAGCACAAAGAGAGTGTCAAAGCCCGTTCTGACTTTAAATTGGTTCCAATTTCAAACTGGGAACACCTCAATTCACTTCACATCCCATGAGCTGCGAGGGGAAGAGCTGCAGCCCCTCTGTCCGGCCCCCGCAGGTGCTGGGTCAGCCCACGGCACACCCGGGAGTCGGGTGTGTGCCGTGGACCACGCTGACCTGCTCACCAGAGGGTGAGGGTGAGCACTTTTATGTTTTATTTTTTTGGAGAGATTTTTTGCTATAGAGTGCACGCACTCACTGGAGAGACAGAAAGAGCCATACAATCCCTTCTCTGTTCTCCTCCTGGAATCTGGGGCATGCATGCACATGCGCCCAGTGTGAGTTTGAAGCCACTGAGTCCCGGACTTGAAGCAGTCGGCCATGTGGGAGTCCAGCAACGTGCGACCACGCCATTTGCTGGTCCCAGGTCCGTGTTTTCTGAAGGCCAGGCTCTCCCCACCACAGGCGGCATCAGCACACATGTACAGGGGGCAGACCTAGGGGGCAGAGCAGAGCTGGCACGGCAGTCCCTGCCAGAGAGCAAGCTGCCGACCCGGGCCTCAGCTGCGTGCCTGGGCCTCATCCAACAGGGTGACTGCCTGCCAGCGGCTTGGTCTCGGGCGGGCTGAGCAGACACACCTGGCAAGCCCGGCAGGCCAGGAGCAGAGCACCTGCATGGTCCGCGACCACTCCGAAGATAGGCAACTGCTCCACACTTCATTTGAACTGCACTCAAAATCCCCCGCCCTTGGAGAAAGCTCTCTAGATTTGGGTCTCCTTTTCCCAATTAATGAAATCAATGAAAAATCTTCTATTCGTGTATGAAAACCGAAACCTTAACTGAGTTGGAGCCGAGCAATGCAAGCTTCAACAGCCCCCAGGGGGTTCTGAAGCAGTCGGAGCTTGAGTCCTACTTCAGATCGGAGGGGCCACACCGTTCTCAAGCCTGGAGCAAGGCTTTACCGTGGGCCCTGTCCCACCGCGGGGTGTCCAGACGGGAAGCACAGGTCACTGGACGCAGCGAGGGCGCTGCAAGGCAGGCCTGCATTCGGCGGGCTCTGTGCAGGGCTGGCCCCGCCTGGTACACAGGGGGCCTTTTCCACACGTGCGAAGGTCTTACCAGAAAGACCCTGACCCTTACTGCTTCAAGAAGGAAACCAACCTTGTGCTCTCATGAAAGCCACCGAAAAGGATTAAGCGTCTCTTCCAGGCCACCATCCGATGTCCACTCCGACCCGAAGGACCTCCAGTTGCTCTGCATACAGAAGGAAAAAAAGCTAAAGAAGTCACTTGTTTCTATTTGCTTTAGGAAAACAAAAACAAAAACAGAAGGTTTTACACGATTTCTATTTCGTAAGGACTTTCTAAACGCCATTTAATTTGATCGGCAAGCCGAAAACCGTCTGGACAGTCTGGCTACTGCTATGAAACCATCTTCCGTAATAAAATAGGAGGGCATCTCCACGGTCTTAGAGCTTATAAAAACGTCTTAGGTAGAGGACCAGCAGATGGTTAATAGTTATGGCGCTGGACTCCCACAGAGTCAACTGGTTTGAGTCCCAACGTGGTAACTCACAGCTCACACTGGGCACATGTGTGGAATAGGAGAATGGCGGAGAAGAGGTTATGGCGTGGCCACATACCCCCCAGGAGGCGAATTTTCACCTTTTGTCTCTCCAGCGAACACAAGTGTCCCTGTAAGCAAAATCTCTCCCCCACAAAAAAACTGTCTTAAATAGAACATGATAAATTAGACCTCATCAAGATAAAATACACCACTAAAAAATAAAAAGGTTGGGGGCCAACAGGTTAAGGCAGTGGCATCCCACATGGCCGAATTCATGAATCAAGTCCCAGGCCCAGAAGCTTGAAAACCATGCCAGGCAGGTGTACACGGGCGCCCACAGTCCCCCGAGGGAGACGGAGGAAGGCACTGGGTGCTTTCCCGCTTGCTCTCCCCACCTGTAAGAAAAAAATCAGGTGATGGGAGGGAGCCCAGCCTGCCCATGAAAAACCTGTTTAAAAGCCAAGAAAGGGACTGAGTTCTCCAGACGGTGCCTGCACCAGGCCTGGCGCTGCGGTAACCGCAGTCGGCATTCTGCTATTCTGCTCTTCGGACCCCGCAGCAGGAACCTGACTCTGCTGGAGTGGGAGACAACATGGACGCGGGCACCGGGCACAGCCCACGAAGCGCAGGCTCAGGCCACCCTCCTGCTGCCACTCATGCTGCGCCTGCACCACGAGTCCCTACCAGCTCAGCACGAGACCTGGCCAGGAACCCTCCTCCAGCAACAGCAGACCAGCCTCCATCTTGGCTGAACCTCTTGTTTTTTTTGTAGAGATTTTCACTGTAGGGCATGTGCGCTCGCCAGACAGACAGAGAGAGACATAGAGACAGAAAGCGAGAAATCACCCCCAGGGGGGATGGTCACGCCGCAATCCCTTCTCCTCCATTCTCCTCTCGGGATCTTGGGCACGCACGCACATGCGCCCGGTTGGCTGAACCTCTTTACCTCTTCTTTCAGACCCAGTTGGCAGCCCTCTCCCCGTGGTGGCCATGAAGCCAGTGGACTAATGGCCAACTCCAGTTATGAGGAGTGGCTCTGAGTCAAAACCCCACCCTGTACCCACCCAGACTCCAGCAACACCTTCCCACTCAGTCTACCTGCACGCCACGGCTCCACCAAGCCACGCCAGCAAAGGCTACGCACTCCCTGGAGCACGCCCTGCCGCTGATTGAGGCAGTGGTCCCCCGCTGGGACAGCTGTGAGCAGCAAACGCAGCGCCGACAGGTCTCAGCTGCTAAAGACCCAAGGCCGACGGAGCAGATGAGGACTGAGGACCCTGCTGGTCCAGCCGTCAGCCCCAGGCAGCGCGGAGGACATGAGGGAGGGCTGCGGCCGCGTGGCGGGGCACCAGCGCATGACGAGCTGGGCTCATGAGCTGATGGCAGGGCGGGAGACAGAGGTGGGGAGGCAGACCATCGCCGAGACACACATGGACGAGGCTCAAATAAGGCACCTCCGAACCACAGGCACGCCGTTCGTGGGAGGTCTTCTGGCACACAGGACGCAGGGCTGAGCATAGGCCTCCACTCCAACTCCAGCCCTGCCTCCAGAGGCTGCAGCCCTCAGATGTGCCCAGGACCCAGACACGCGAGAGCTGCCGCACCCGGGCTCTGAAGCTGCATCTCACGAGGCTTCTTCGGCTGAGCAGAACAAGAATCGCCATGCAGAGTGGCCCCACGGACAGAGGCTCGGACGACAGGGGAGAGGGGAGAGCCGACAGCCGGCGTCTGCCTCGGCTGCCCACTCCGCTCTCGAGAGCCCCGGGGTAAAGGGCACCTCACAGCCTGGCAACAGCTCTCTGAAAGGCCGCATGCTCCGCTCGGAACGTATGCAACAGTTACAACAAGCTGCCTTTAGTGATGTTCCTGACTTAAGACAGCTGCCTCGGGGGCTGGGAGGTGGCGAGGTGGTTAAGTGCTGGCACTCCCACAAGCCCAATCAAGTTCGAGTCCCAGACCTGATGTACTTTCTCGCTTTCCCTCTCTCTCCATCTCTCCGGTTAAATTAAAACAAATGAATAAATAAAAGTAAATTAATGATTCTTTTAAAAAATTAATTATTCTTTAAAAAAAAAAAAAACACAAAAAAAACAACTACCTCAAGCATCAAGAGTGTCATGAGTCACCCGCGGCTGGTCTCATGCACTGTGGTGACAGGGCCACCACTACCGGGCTGCAGGAAGATGGCACGGGGCCACTCTGAGGCACCCGCGCCAACCGTGCAGCCCTGTTTCCTAGGAACAGACGCCTACGACACAGGTTACCGACCCTGCAAAGCCCAGACCGTCAGTGGCTCAGCGTGTCATGCAGGCAGAGCCCCTCACAGTAACCCACAGCGTGCCAGGGCCCCTGGACCAGCTCGACTCACACCGCTGTCCCCACCCCCGCCTGCACCCCGCGTGTGCAGCACACTCCTGGGCTGTCGGCACTGCGGGCCTCGAGCCTGGCCGGCCCGGCCTCTGCACCTGAAGGCTCACTGTCACGTCATCACAGCGTCTCCAGTGAGAGCCACTGCCCACTAGAAAGACCGAGGGTCTGAGGGCTCCACACGGTGGCCTGTCTCATCCAGAGGAACATGGCTCGTGGCTGGGGCAGAGGCAGGGTGACGACGGTTCACACGCCCTAAGAGGGTGAGGCTAACTGCTCTGCCTTTAAGCTGCCCTTCCATGGAGCGCCTTCTCTCAGGGGACTTAAACACCAACACGGTGTCTGTCTGTCCCACGAGACCTGCTGCACTGACCCCGAGACACATGGCACGTGTGCTCAGACGCCCGGCTGTGCGCCGACAGGCCCGAGCTGGCTCCCTGACAGGGCTGCCCAAGCTGCTCCGTCCCCCTCCCTCCAGCCCCACCACACCCCCGTCAGCAAACAGATCTCCAGGGGTCAGTTCCACCCAGAGCCAGCTGCCTCCGAGGGGGTGAGCGGCAGAGACACACCCAAACGCAACGAGGGGCATGGACAGGAAGGGAGAGATCACCCCCGTGGACCGGTCCCAGCAGGGCCCTCGCCAAGCCAGGAGGCCGGCAGCACCCAGAGGAAAGATGAGCAGATCGCCTGCACTCGGCGAGGCCGGCCCCGTCCCCGCAGCCGCCACTTACTTGACTTGCACCCAGGTCCTGGTGGTCAGGTGCAGGACCCAGAGGTCCCTGTAGTGGTAGAACTGCTCTCCGCTGGGAGCCGCAAACTCCCCTCCAAAGATCCACAGCTGTCCGCCGCCCTGAGGCACCACCACGGCCTGTGGAGAGAGGGGGGACAGTCAGGGCCCGGCCACTGGCGCCTAGGCCACCCGGTCTTCGCTGCACACAGACGCAGCCACCCCCACCCTCAACCCGTCTCCACCTGACTCTGCGAGGTTCCAGAAAAGACTCGGAGGGCACACTGTCCTCACTGAGAAACTCAAGCTACTCCGAGGTTGCAAAATGAACTTGCTCTTGTATTTTGGCACCTACGCCCACGAAGGTAGACAGTCACTTCAAATAAACCAACCCTAGTCACAGAGTATTTTCTTCTCTGCCAGAGGGCACGTGCGCTCGACAGGGAGGCAGAGGGAGAGGCTACACCAGGCTACAAGGCTGTTCTGTACGGAATACCCCTGAGAGAGCAGTCTGCCTCCCCTCGGTGACCCCGCCCCCAGGTGCTGAACCTGCCCTTACGTGTTACACAGGAAACTCAGAACCCCTAACACGGCCCTTACGAGTGAAACACACAGGCAGTGCGACACTCTGAAAATAGCCTTCCAGATGAAGACCTTCCCCGACAACTACTGCTCGTTAATGCACTAGGCCAGTAAGGACACATTGGCATATTTTTTAACCACCTAATTCTTTCTTACAAAAAATGCATCGAATTTCAGCCAGTTATGACTCGGGGAAACGGACAGCAAGCGAGCAGGCCTGACCCCCGCCCTTTCTTCCGCCTGCCCACCTTCCCGGGCCGTGGAAGAAGAGCTGTCTGCTCCTTCCCATTCTCCCCAGAGAAAAGCACCGAAGCCTCCACAATCATTGAGGCTCACAGACAACAGAAATGAGACCCCAGGGCCCGCACTCGGCAGGTGGCGTAGTGGTTAAGGTGCTGGACTCCCACGTGGCTGACCGGCAGTGCGACACTCTGAAAATAGCCTTCCAGATGAAGACCTTCCCCGACAACTACTGCTCGTTAATGCACTAGGCCAGTAAGGACACATTGGCATATTTTTTAACCACCTAATTCTTTCTTACAAAAAATGCATCGAATTTCAGCCAGTTATGACTCGGGGAAACGGACAGCAAGCGAGCAGGCCTGACCCCCGCCCTTTCTTCCGCCTGCCCACCTTCCCGGGCCGTGGAAGAAGAGCTGTCTGCTCCTTCCCATTCTCCCCAGAGAAAAGCACCGAAGCCTCCACAATCATTGAGGCTCACAGACAACAGAAATGAGACCCCAGGGCCCGCACTCGGCAGGTGGCGTAGTGGTTAAGGTGCTGGACTCCCACGTGGCTGACCACAGTTTGAGTCCCGGACCTGGTGGCTGGCTGTCACACCTTCCCTCTTGCTCTTTCTCTGTCGAATGCATGTGTGCTACAGCAAACAAAACACCAATAAAACAAATAGTAATTAGAAAAAGAAACAAGGCCCATTCACTTTCTCTCAGAGCTGCATTCATTTTTAAAAAAGCCAACTGAACTCTAGGATTACTGCTAGAGTAAGCGTCACCCATGGCTGCAGGACCCAGGAGAAAGCGATAAAGGGGGTGCCCCTACTGATTACAGACTGCCGTGCCCACTCATCAAACTGGCCCACAGTAAAACCTCCCACAGCCCAGAGCTAGGTGCAGAACTCAAACCCTGACGGCCTCCAGGCAGGAGACCTGATGACAGCGCCGTCTCCTGCCTCCCTGACTCCCCATGCCACTCCTCTTGTCCCATGGAGGTTGAGAGGCCAAAGGTTGCTAAATCCAGCCTGCGCGGGGCACGTCCATGAGAGAGCTGCCCACACTCTGCCCGAGTATTAAGCGCTGAACTGGAATCGTCAAGGCTCTCCCAACAGTGAGCTTTCAGGAGTGCAGGCGAGACCCTGATTAAAATGGAGTGAAATACGCGCAGCTGCGGCCCAGTGCCCGCCTCAGACTTGGGCAAGACCAGCCTGCTCCCGCCTGCTCCCTGCGCCCCCGAGGAGCATCCAGGAGACTGGGAGCCCTCGCCGCAAGAGGGACCTGGCCTGAGCCTGGAGGCCTGGCCGGAACCCACAGCTCCTGCCCCAAACCTGGAGCAGGAGCTGGCCTACTAAGATCGCGTGTCTGCCACGTGTGAGCATGGGCGACCTTACCTGGAAACCAGCAGGGAAGAGCACCCCCTTTACCCCAGGGAAGCCTCTGGTGCCGCGCCTACGTCTGTGGAGGCCACGTCAGCACAGACCAGCCCTGCCCTCGGGCCCACCTTCAGCTCAGGGGCCACTTCTCAGCAGAGGGTCAGAACAAGGGGACAAATACGGCCAGGCACTGTTTGAAGGGCCATGGCAGCTTGACATGAGGAGCCTTCCCACGCTGGGAGCCCACACTCAGCCAGCTCTATCCCGGAGTGAGCTGACCATCCTCAGGACCTCTGCATGGTGAGTACAGGACAAGGTGCCCACTGTCCCGGAGCTCAGGGGACAGTCAGGACCAGGCTGTGTGAACAGAACCGAGCTGCTCTGTGTCCCTCCACGTGCCTCGGCTCATTCGGAAACCACTGTCGCTCCTGTCTGTGCCTCTCCCAGACACCGTTCTTCCATTGCCACCATCCAGCCCAGGCCTTGGGCCCCAGGACTTCTCACCCAGAGAGGGGGCGGGCGTCAGGGCCAGCGTCTGGGTCCAGGAGCAGCAACCCCAACATGGAGCAGACTCCAGGCTCCTTGCTCACCCCCTCACAGGGTGGCACAGAGGTGCTGAGCTTAGCGAGGAGGGCAGGTCGGAAACGGCAGGGCTGGACGACCCGCACCAGGCGGCCCGTGCCGGGCACACAGTGGTCCCCGACTCTCACACCGGGGGAGAAGGTCGCGTCTGCTGACAGTACCTGGTGAGCGCATCGCCTCGGAGGAGGTCCGGGGATGTCGACCCGCGTCCACGTGTCCCTCCTGACGTTGTACACGTAGAGCTCATTGTACAGCAACGTCTGTGCGAAGAGGACACCACTGCCCTAAGTGACACACCCCCAGGCAGGTGACATCTCATCGTCAGAACCCCCGGGAAACTGGCTCCCCAGGCAATGGCGTCCACCATGAAGGCTGTGTGGCCCCCCCGGGGCCCTCAGGGGACCACACAGGTAAGTGCCCACCATGCCTATTAACCCGTAGGTCCTGAGAGCCTTTGCCGCTCAGTAAGATCCATCGCCCTCAGGCCAGCAAGGGCCCACAGAGCTGACAAGTTTGAATCCCAGCCTCAGCAGCTTAAAAACCACATGGTGCAATAAATAAATATATAAATAAAAAATCAGCAGTCGGCATAATGGCTATGTCGCTGGACTCCTATGTAGTTGACCTCAGTTCGCGTCCCGGACCCGGTGGCTTAAACTCAACACTGGGCGCATGTGCATGCGTGCCCAAGATCCTGAGAGGAGAATGGAGGAGAAGGGATTGTGGTGTGGCCATCCCCCTTGGGGGGTGATTTCTCGGCTTTCTGTCTGTCTCTCTGTCTTTCTGGTGAGCACATGGGCCCTACAGCAAAAACCTCTCAAAAAAAAAAAAAAAAAAAAAACCATAAAAAAAAAAAAAAAAAAAAAAAAGAAACACGTGGCATCCAAGTCTCAACAGGATGGAGGAGTAGGGAGGGGAGTCCGTGTGGCCCCCGGGGATGCTTTTGTCACAGCCCTCCCCACCACGAGCGCTTGTGCTCTCTGCAAAAAAAAAAAAAGGATTCATCATTTCCTAATTCAAGTACAGTTTTTAAGTCTGTAAGAATTCCCAGGAGATGGAAGAGGGAGTCACAGGGCTCCTGGCAGGCTGGGGGGTTAGGACTCAGGCTTCATAACCGTTTCACACACGAGGACACCTCGAATGGTTTGTGAAAACCAAGTTAAAGCACGAGTTTACTCTGGTGGAAAAGTTTTGAAAACCGCAGTGATTCTCAACAGGTACATTGTCCATGAACTTTTGAAAACCCCGGACACAGTTCTCCTCGGCCTGCTGAAAAATAAACGGAGCCCTACGACTTCCCAGCCCACCCCACTCGGACCTTTGAAGACCACGTGTGGCCCGAGAGCCCGCAGCGAGGGGGCAACACGCACGCACATGTGCAGCGGCAGCCGGTGCGCCTCCCGCAGGCGGCGGGGGGGGGC